GCAAAGACTCCCATTTTGTGCTTTGCACATGGGAGTCAAAAATATCACTTTTCACCAAAAATGACAAAAACAATCATCAAAATTACATAATTGAAGATATCACAACGAAATTAACAAATCTGAAAGTCGTCCACATGTAGTACGGTAGCTATATATGTAATATAAAAACAATCAGACTTGCGATTTTCAACAAGAAGTCGAAAATATCACTTTTTACCAAAAATGACAAAAATATTCACCAAAATTAGAGAATTGAAGATATCATTACAAAATGAACAAATCTGAGAGAGGTCTACCGAAGGTACATATACACCAAGTATCAAAGCATTCAGGCTTATAGTTTTCAAGAAGAAGTAAAAAAAGTAAAACATTGACACGGACGCCGATAAACAATCACTCATATGATAAGCTTCGCTCGACAAAAAAGCTAAAAAAGTTGTTCAGGTCAAATCATGATGAAAAACACCATGGCGGAAATTGCTTTGTATCAAGAGTTTGCGTACAATCAAAGACATTCCACAACGAAGATAATGATAAAGATCTTGCTTTCAACAGTTTTCCCCACAGCCCCTACCCATTTTGCACCGTAAATTCAGACTGTATGTAAACCATATTGTAATAAAATGTGTTTATTTTTATGAACATATTTGTTTCTTAATTGTAAAAAGTGTCATGGAAATCAAAAGGACAGAGTATTTCTACGAGACCGACGCTGTGAACAAAAAATGAAATTTGGATAATTTTTTTGAGGTTGGGAAGATTATTATAATTTTAAACCCCCAATAATTTATCTTTTCTGAGGTGGTCCTCGAGTATAAGCCCACCCTCTAATTTTTCTGATTTTACATGTTCAGGCTCCTGGGCTTATACTCTGGGGAAGTACAGTAATACTAAACAAATAACTGCAACTGAGGGGTATATTGTGATTTGTTGGCTGGACATTGGCCTGAAAACAATTGTGTAAAATATCAACATTGTAGTTATACCGAGTTACCAAACTTTGTCTGGTTTGAGTACTGTAAATGCATTAATTTAGTCAATGGGTTTTAATATTGTTATTTTCACTGATAAGTAAAAGCTGCAAAATGATATCTATGTGAACAAGTAAAAATACAACTCGGCTGAGATAGCTCCGCTGTAAGCAATGAACATTTCAATCAAAGAATTGAAGAAATCACCACAAAATGAGCAAATCCGAGAGAGAACCACCTGAGTTACATACATATATATATATATATATATTTTTATGATATCAAAGCAATTAGACTTGAAAGTGGTTTTTACAAAAAATAACAAAAATATTTATCAAAATTAGAAAATTGAAGGTATCATGAAATGAACAAAACAGAGAGGTCTACCCAAGATACATACAGTACAGTTCTCGCGGAAGCTTTGGCTTCGCTTCACTTCAGCTTCACCTTCGCTTCGCTTCACCTTCGCATCATTATGGCATTGTTATGGCTTCAGCATCGCTTCAATGTTGCGACATTAAAAAGTTAGGCGATTATCGCTTCGCTTCATTGTGGCCTCATTATGGCGACAATGTGGCATCAGCATCGCTTCATCAAACAAAGAAGTACTGTACTCATTTCCCCCAAACCTCTTGACCGCTTCCGCTTTTGACCGGTCAATTTCCGTTTTATTTTCGACCGTGCAAAAATTCGGACTACTAAAAATTTTCTGGTTTTCATAGATCACGGTTACTAGTTTAGTAACCGTGCATAGATGTTGAACAACCGTCAAAAGTTCAAATACTTTTTGTTTTAACTATCTATAATTATATGCACGCAATCTGACCCTTTGACCTAGATTTGGCTGGGA